GCCACTAGTCCATCCTTCAGCTAATAGCTTTGGATCACATGATTGACACCATGAAAAATGGGTTTCATATCTACCACAGGTTGGACAATTCCTATAAACTTCATTTCTTTCCTTTGAATATTCATCATCGTCATTTTTATCAGTAGAAGCATCATCAGTATGTTTATTTTCATTTGAAGCATTTTCCATTTTTAAAAATTATTTGTATTATAATTTATATAATTATTAAAGTTTTTTTCTAAAAGAACTTCTTTTAGTATTAGCCATAAATGCATATCACAAGTGGAAACACAAAATAATATATGACAAGTTCCCAACACCCTTTTACATTTTTTTATTTTACCTAAATTACAGCAATTCGGCATTACGTAAATAAATTTGGTTTATGGCTTTACGACTTTAGTATTAGTATTAGGGTGTCATGCCGTAAAATCGTAATGCCGTGATTATTTACGGCCTATAAATATTGCAAACGTGCGATCCGAGTTATTTATTACGAAGGCACCAATCTGGCAACTAAACTAAAGTCACTATATACAACTATACTATTTGAGTAAGGTTTCTATTTAAATAAGATTTATTTGAATTATTATTCGAATCAAACGGTAAGACGAATAATTAGAATCAAAATGAATAAAACGAGTAATATATTAATATTAATATAAAACAAATAGTTCGAATAAACGATAATTAGAATTTTGAATAAACGAAAATAATTACAATGGGTGCCTTCAAAAATTATTATATTGAATATTTGTTTGGAAATTTTCAATCCGTGATCAAAAATTATCAAGATGATCGACAATTATTAATAAAAATGGAATTTTTACGTCTCTTCTCTTTTATTAATCATCAAAGAAATGAATTGGACCTTGAACTTACAAATACCAATGCTAATGATTTTAGTATTGATGTCTTTGTTTTTTGGGTACTTCAATATTTTCCATTTTTTTTTTAAAAAAATTTATTTTATTTTTTTTTATTATTTTGTTGTTTATTTTTTTCAATCTTACTACCTGACCTAGATTGAAATTTCATATTAAAATTCGATCTCAATCTCAATCTCAGATCGAAATCAATCTCAATATGGAAATTTTTGAACGCAGATCGAAATCAATCTCAATCTCAATCTCAATCTAATAATTTTTGAAGGCGCCCAATATCTGTAGAGAAAAGATTCTAATAATGCCACTATGACTACAAAAAAAATGAAATTTCTGTCTTTCTAATCTTATAATACAAACTTCATTTGTTTACAATGTTCTTAGACCTTTGACAAAAGCCTTACAGTACTTGAGCATCTCAAGTTTCTTTTTAAATCTTGAGAAAGACTAGATTTGATTTTGTTGCAATCAGTTATATCTATAACATTAATTTGTCTTTCTTATGCAAGTAGGTATTGTTAATTACTGTATCGTCTTTTATCTGTTTATTTTTAATAAAGTGGTGTGTTCTTTTTCAACATATACGCATTATATTCTTGATTAGGCATTTATGGGAAAAATTTTGATGGTTATTATTGGCAAGTCAATTTTGTTAATGTAAATTTACATATCCACTGTAATATTAATATAGTAATATGCGTGTTTTTTGCATTTCCATTACATAAAAGTAAATTACAACAAAAAACAAACCTAATTTTTTTTCCATGTATTATTTAAGAATATATTAAAAAATTTTATCCACCTCTTTTTTTATTAAAATAAGTGACTCTAAACTTTGCTATGAAGAAGGGTGAATTATTATTATTTGATTGATATCACAAAATAAACAGAACTGTTTTACATTATTCAACACTTTCACATCTTGGACTAGTTTGATTTAATTCATAATGCATTTAACATGACTTTGTTGACAAATTATCTTTACATTTTTTTAATATGCAACCAAGTTTATTAGTAGACTTTTACTTTACATCAATTTTTCTATGGGCAATTGCATGATTTCAAAGAAATTGCACGCGCATCTCTAGTTACAAGCAACAAGTTTATTTGGTGCACAATATTGGTTATCTGCTGGTGGTTTCTTTTTTTCAAGATAAAGTTAAAAACACAAAAATGTGTATTTTTAATATCCCAATTGAAATATAACAGTAGAACATATTTTTACTTAGTATACAAGGCTTTTTAAATGTGAACAAAATCAAATTCAAAGATCATTTTTCACAAAGATGATGTGTTGGTTTTGCATAGTTTGTACATGGATAAACAAATTTAATATTAATTGAATAAAGGAAGATATTGAATTATCATTTATAACTGTAAAGGGAAATTTCTTTTAAACGGTTTGTGAGACTGAAATTGATAGATCTTGTGTTTTGTGTGTTGTAAGGGTAAAAGCATTTTGTAAGAATTATGTTTTGGAAACAAACAAATCATTTAAATGATATTTAATATATTATAAAAACAAAAAGTTAATGTGTCTTGTCTATCTTGAGAATCATTGCCTCGTAACTCTGAGAATAGAATGATCTGTGTTCATTTGTTTATATAATAAAAATAACTAGTTAACTAGTAATAATAAGTTTGATATCCCGGATCTGCATAACAAATTTCTATCGTTGAAACGAGATAATGATCTACAGGATCAACAGGAAAATTTTAATAATAATAAAATTTTTGTGTTGTGATTTAAATTTTGAATATAACAATAATACTTAATACAATACTTGATATAATACAGTAAAATTTACAAAAAATTAAATGGTAATTAATAGTCAATTATTTACTGAAAAACTAGTAATGTTTGTTTGTATTGAATTTTGAATACTATATGATTTTATTGTTTTTTTTTCAATGATTTTAAAGCTTTTAACTCATTATAATCTACTTGTATATTATTTTGTTCAAGAAAATTAAAAGCAGTTTCAAAAGCTTTTTCTCTTTTTTTGGAAGAAGAAGATAGTTGTTGAGACATTTTAATTTCGCAGAATTTAGAGATTTATTAATTTAAAGAAATCAAAGAAAATGTTAATTATGTAGAATTATCAGAAGATATTTATTTATTATCAATTTAGAAATATGGAAAATTTGATTGATATTATTATTTAGTGATGTGTGTTTAATTATTCGCGTAAAATCATTATTTAGAAATATAAAAAATTTGATTAATATTATTATTTAGTAATGTGCGTTTAATTATTTGTGTAAAATCATTATTTAGAAATATGGACAATTTTGATTAATATTATTATTTAGTAATAGTAATGTGAGAATTATTTATATTATTATTTAGCAATGAATTAATCTTAACAGTGTTTCTTTTTTTTATAAAATCTATATCACGTGAATCCGTTGTAACGCGATTAGTACTTGTTACTATTACTAAAATCCTACCAAAAAATCCGTTGTCCGTTGAAACTAAAACGCGATTTAAATATAAATCCGTTGAAACGAGAATTTTTTAATTATAATTAATAAAATCAAGGGGTAAAACCAAAAATCCGTTGAAACAAAAATCCGTTGAAACGAGGTCCGTTGAAACGAGGGTTCGACTGTATAAAACAATTTATTTTTTAACAATGACATGTTGTTGTTTGGCACCTGCCTGAAGACGTGTTAATAACTGACCAGAAGTACTTTTTTTTAATTTGCATTGATATATCTTTTATTTATACAAGTATTTTAATTGAAATCAAAACGCGGAGCAGATCTTTCTAGGTAATTATAAGATCCTCATCAAGATGGTAAATAATTGGTATTTGCTTTTCGTAATCAGTAATAATATTAATATTATTATAAATATATATTTACATGTCAAGGCAGCATACCGTTGAAAAAGAAACATTTCGAGTATACAAGGACAAGGTTTGATTACCACATATGTCGGGGGTGATATGTCAGGATTAAGATACAAGGACAAGGTTTGATTACCAGATATGTTGGGAGTAAGATATGTGAGGGTTAAGGTATGGGCTTAGGGTCATACCTTAACCTTGACATGTCTTACCCCCGACATATCTTACCCCAGGCGTTAAAGCACGCACACTGTCTTGGACACTACAGTCATTCTCACGTTCCTCATTTACACAAGGCTAATCTCACCGAGATACTCTCAAAGGGATAGAACGATGCAAACAGAGTTCCGTTCATCGACCAATAGTCAACGATGTTTTCCCTCACAGCACCTAAACCAGAGAAGGCTCTTTAATTTTCATTTGACCAACGTTGGTGTGCCTAAATTCTGGGAAAATCCAAAACAGCAACCCGTTGCAGACACTGACTTTATTCTAGAGGGGTATAATACAAAGCAATCATCACACAAATGCGGATCTTCATCAGTGATCAATGCCCGTACGGCAACAATCAAGCCTGGTCCGAGGGGAATAGGGGAAAGTTTTTGTTGACCTTATGAAAAAACCTTCAAACATTGGGGAGCCTTCACTTGTAGTAAAAATTTTATGCAAGGATGGAGGCGGGACCATTGTTTGTGGTAAGGAAAATTTAATTAAATCTGACACCTGTGATCAACATCAGATTTATTATTGGGAAGGAAAACCCTCCCTATTTATTCTTGTGAACTACTGGTAGACATGCATTATTAAAAAAATTTATTTTTGCATGGCCTTGGTATTATTACTACTTGGGTGATGCAATTGTTTGTTATATCAACAACATCAAATGTATTGAATAATTATCATGAATATTTAATGGATGCAGATATTCACAGAAGGAAAGGATTAAATAACAACAAAAAGGCTAAGTTTGTTTTTTTATCAACAAAAATATATAATTAATTAGATTTAAAGATTATTATCTTATTCCACTTTTTTATGATATATTAATTATGATATATTCTTGTAAGATCTGGCGGTGTACGATCAGAAAGAATTGTTACGCGGCCATATTTTATTATTCTTAGAAAACAGGTAGAAAATTCAACATCAAAAATTCTAGTTCAATACACAAAAAACAACTCTGACTAAATATATTTTATATGGGAATAATTTTATGGCATCACTTAGAAAGCAGGAAAAATATTTTCAAAAGTATGTCTCTACTATGTTCACTTTGCCCCAAATGAGTGGATTATATTTATTAGTTTATCGCAGTTTAGTAAAAGAACCAACTGATATTTTAAAGCTGACGTAAGCCTGTCTGTTACCAAAATATAAGAACAACAATTAATTTTATATCAAAAAAAATTTTTTATTAATTTTTCCTGTAATTGGAGAATTTGGAAATGCAATGAATTCATTGGTGGAAAAACAGTATGTAGGACCTTTAAAAAAATATATCTCGTCAGGAAAACTAACCATTTATGGGGTTATGTATCGGATTACAAACAATGTTTGAAGGTTCTGAAGAAAGTCCAGGTGTATTAGGATTGGGTATTATACTTGTAATAGTAAAAAATTTTGACAAGAATGAAAATCAGTGCCTCACACGAGATGTAATGAGGTCAACTATTATTGAAAGATAATAATAATATTGATGACAATGACAATGGCGATTTTTTTGGTATAAAAGGTAATAATGTTTATTATTTTGTTCACTCTTATGCTGTATCATATTCTGACTCACTTCTGGAATGGACTTTTTGAACAACTCAATATGTATCAGAGGGTTTCATAAGTTCAATTCAGAAAGATAATATATTCTGCACACAACTTCATCTAGAAAAAAGCGACAAAATTGGATTAAAGATACTAAAAAGTTTTGGAAAAAGATTTTAGTCCTATCAACAACAATTCCAATAAAAATTATTCTACAACTAATTAAAACATCAAAAAGAATTATCGCTTGCTTAGATGTTAGAACAAGGAATTCGGTTATCACCAAAGGTGATCAATATGATATAAGGGAAAGTATTAATAATGACAATAACGCTATTGACGTTAATAATAACATAAAAGTGACGCGTAAAATAAGAAATTTTGGTAAGCCTGTTGACTTAGCACGTAGATATTTGAAGAGGGAGCAGATGAAATTGCTTTTTTAACATCATATAGAAATTTCTCATTATCAGATTTAACCAACGTTGGAGATTTTACGTAAAAATCAGAATCAATTTTTGTACCTTTAACAATTGGCGGTGGGATACGAGGTTTTACAGAAAATTTCATTCAGCACTAAATGTAGCTGGTGAATACTTTAGGTTAGAAGCTGATAAAGTATCAATTAATAGTGATGCTGTTTATGCTATAGAAAAATATTTGAATAATGGATGGTAGTACAGCAATTGAATTGATATCAAAAAATTATGGATAACACAGACAGTTGTGATTTTAGTTGACCTAAAAAAAGTTTATGTCGAGTCCAGAAGAAACTACGCATCATGTGACCAAAACAAAGTATCCAGGTCCAAATAAAGAGATATGGTGTTGGTATCAGTGTATGGTGAAAGGTGGTAATGTTTATCAGTTGGCTACTATTTGTGAAGTAATGGGAGCAGGAGGAATTGTATCGATAAGGATGGTACAAATTCAGGTATGATTTGGAATTGGTGGAAGATGTTAAAAAAAAGTGTAAAGGTTCCTATCATTGCTTCAAGTGGAGCCGGTAATGAATTTCATTGAAGCTTTTAAATCCGCTTGTTGAAAAAGTCAAGGAATTGTTAAAACTTAATGACATCTTTATAGGAATGTGGATAATGAATGAGTTGCAAATTATAATTTATAAATGTTAAAATCATTTATTCAAAAAATTTCTTTCTTTAATGTATGCACTATATTAAAATATAATATATACCAGTTACAATATTTTAGATTTTTTAACTTGGGTACCTATTTATAAAGTTTTATGACAAACTTTGGTCTAAAATTGGTGTCTGCAGCTGGTTGCAACTTTTATTAGATAGGCATTATTATTGATTTTTGGTGTCTTCACTTTTTGATTGAATTTTGTTAAATTAACTAAAACCCAGTACAAGTCTTACGCAGATAATCTACAATAAAGTGTCTTGGGTATAAGCTACAACGTTGCAAATTACTCTTGTTGTGTTCCTTTAGCGGGCTCCGTTTACATATCTGTCAAATGATAATTTACAAGGTGTGCGTTTAAAAGTCTTTTGACCGCCAAAGTTATGTTTGATGGCTCCACAACAACCACAAGTTTTACTAGTATATTCCTCAGTGCAGATGACCCTTGCACCAAGAATACTCGTAGGATTTATGGAGTAAATGTTGTTTAAATTAGTAATGTGACCAGGTCATCATTTGTCTTGCAGTTTTAGATCTGATTTTCTAAAGCCGCCATCTTTTTTAACCATGTCTTATGTTTTAAATTCGAGAGTAAACTTAGCGAAGATGTTTTATTTTTTATTATTGCTAATTTATGATGGCATTCATCTACAATTTTTCTGTGAATTCAGAGCATACAACATTGATGGAGCTTATATCATTTGCGCTTATTTGCCTTACCATGAATAGAATCCCTCATGATGACATTTATTCTATTCATGTCACTTTTTCCCCATTCTATAGCCTCACAACTTGGCTCTCACCCATGGATCAAAGAGAAACGATGGCAGCATCTCTATTCTCTTCAACTGCTGAAAATTTAGGAGCTTGGTTATCAGCCTTAATTTCAAGTAGTAACTATGATGATTAATGGTAGGATGGAATTCATGACTTATTTTTCCTGGTATTTTCTCACTTGATTTAATATCGTTGAGGAATGAAAATTCACATCTTTTCTTCCCCGTTCTCTTGATAGAACGGGTTTGACATATTTTGTCTTTTTTATATATTCAATTTGAAAATTTTCTTTTTTGTAGCAATGTTTGATTTGTAATCATTCAAAAGTACATTCAATGTTGTATCTCTAATACAATGAGAACTCATTTGATGTTAAAATCATTGTATGTGATTTTTCAGATTTAATGATATAACTTGTTCATAACTATGCTTTAGATTTATTTTTCCTATCTGAATTGATTGCAGCCAAACATTGATTGTATGTCTACCGTACAATACCATTTTAATATTTTTTGTTTATCAGGGCAAAGTCTGATTTTAAGTGCTTTCATTGCTGGAGAAGATGATGAAATTGAATTTTCGTCTATAAATTACATCTTTAAATTTCTCCCATGTTCTATCTGGTAAAATAAAAGATTATTTAAAATATCTCTCTATGTGTTGGTTTAGCTGAGCCAACCGTGATAGTGATATCAACCGGTAGAAAAGCTAAGCCGTTTAAAATTCCTTAGCCGGCTTAGCCAATTTTTTCCTCAGCCGGCTGACATCATTAAATGTGATCCATAACCCAAGAGCTAATCTTTTTAAATTCCATTGACTTGTCTTTTGAGGGTAACCAACATTAGTTTGTAAATTCATCCCAGAAAGGCTTATATTTGTAGAAGTTGGTCGTGATGACGAGTCACAGCAAACAGAGGAAGATTGCATATAATTTTAAATTTATTTTGTGATTAATAAAGTAAAGGATTTTACTATTCCTAATTATAAAGAAGGATTTATTCTCGTGATTAATAAAAATTAATTTATTATTATTTTGTGTAGAACTTTTATATATGGGTCAAAATTGATAATATACATCTATATTGTAAAGATTACAACTGGTGAGAAAATCAACCATGTTTGCTTAACATAATAATGATAATTTTGAGGGACCATTACCCAAAAAAATTTATTATGTTCCTAAACCACATTTTGTCAGAAATCACCCCATATATATCTGATTTTTTTATCAACTAATATAGTATTTAATTGTGATCGCGCGAAAAAAGGAAATTTCGCGCAATCGTTGAATGCGCAGTGATTTTTTTACAATGCTATGAATCATGATACTTTTAACAAAAGTTCATTGAAATAAAAGTGGAAATGATCAGCCAAAAATTTACCTAAATTACATTCATCAAAATCTTAGCAGCGGGCCAAGAAAGTATTTGCTCCTTTTAATTTTGCTTGGATTAGTACTAAGCCATTTTTCCGACTCTTTTAATATGACCGACTCTATATTGTGTTGCTAATTCAACATTTTCTTGTTAAGGTTTATTTCTTTTTATTCTTTTAATAGACAAATTTCTCTTTTTTGTTCGGCTGATGATTGTTCTTGTGACATTTTTAATTAATAATTAATAGGATTTTTAAAATGTTCAAAGCAACAGAAGATTTGTTATTAATACTGTTTAGAATAATATTATATTATTAATCATGATGTATTAGTATGTCATTCAATTGTTGTCGATCTATAACAATAATCACGTGAATTCGTTGAAACACGATTATTATTATTATATTAAAAAAATCCCTTACCAAAAAATTCGTTGTCGCTGTAACATTTATTTATTATTATAAATGTTTGGTGAAACAAGTTTTTATTAGAAAAATCCTTAAAACAAAAATTTGGCTGAAACAAGATTCGTTGAAACAAAGTTAACGAATAAAACAATATTTTTGCTTGCATGAAATTTCCAAATCAATCAATAATCAAAGGATATGAGAAAAGGATTCAACTCCTTTACCATTATAAATAATAATTCAATACCTTCCTTTATCCCATTAATATTAAGTTTATTTAAAAATAAAGGAAAAGTTGTGTTTGTTTCAATTTACTATTAACAAAAATCCTCAAATCTTTCCTTATTTCTATTTAAAAAACTGTGGTATTTACCAATTATATAAATTTTTTTCGTCACCCTACCACAAAGCATATACACATAATGTCGATCAATAAGATTTTTTTTTTGGTGATCAATAAAGTAACTTTCGTAATGTAACTAATCAATCTATGAAAAAGAGAGATATCATTCTCGTTTTAGCATACATTTCCTCTAGGTTATGGGCACAGAAAGCCTTTTATTTTCATAATAAAAATAAATTTTACGTATTGAGCAATCTGTCCATTTTTTGATCACGGGTTTTTCATCACCGGCTGTACCTCTACGCTTTAAGAGCTTTTAACAGGCCCCATGTGAAGGTGATAAGGAATTGGCGTCTCCAGATGCAATCACAGTGTTTCCTAATTATTTTTTTGTAAACTCAGCGCAAAATTGTGGGGAGGTTTTTGTTCCACTATAACCGTTTCTGTCTTCTTTACTCGGAATAAAAATCTAGACCTTCTTGAAGATATAATTAAGGTGTTGTTGTATGCGTGGACCATATATGCTAGCCATAAATGCTCCTTTTGATAAATGACTATTGCTGAATCCGAAATTTTGAAATAGTTTTTCCATAGTACATACTAGGTCCACTAAGTTGACTAAGACAACAAAATCAACCAAGTTGACGAGATAGTACTCGATGAGAAATTATGACTCAAATTCCATGTAACTTTTCTTGAACAAAAGAAAATAATAACAAGTTTTGACTTGAGAAATAATTAAATAATACTTAAAACTGTTTGCTAGTAAATAAATATCCTATTCAGTTTGATCCCTATCATTATTTCAAATTAAAATTATCGTACAACACTGGAGGTGCGTAGATCAATCATATAATGTTATCAATAAGTAATTTTTTTGGAAAATTTGAATGCAATTAGTACTAGTCAGTGAAAAAGAGATAGTTGTAGTATACTTTTATTTTTTAACAGATATATTTTTGGGGGAACAAATGCCGGTGCAACCATTACAAGGTCAAGGGTATGAGTCAACGAAGTCTACAGGGGTAGCGTCATGAAATGCTGTACGAGTGTACTAACCTGCTTTGTCGCATAATATTAACATATCAATGGAATCATAAATACTTTGAAATATCCTTAAAAAATTCCTTGAATTGGCTATTAATATTATACCAATAAAAAAGGCCAAGGGCGTTTCGAAGAACGCTCGTTTACTGATGATAGATAGCAGATCTCCCGTATTAGTGTAACCTTGTTAAACGTCATATATGTAGCTTGTCACAAGGATCGTTTTTAGCATAATAATCATGGGAAATTTTCGTATTTAATGTTTCTTCCAACCTTAAATTTTAAGTTTTTAATTTCGTAAAAAAAAAAAAAAAAATAATAATAATTATAATACAGTCGTGATAATTTTTAATGAACATGTGATGTTGATTATTAAGGTTAGTTTTTCAATTATTATTGATCTGCAAAGTAAGTGTACGGGAGAGCATGATTTTAATACGCGTGTTATCGACTTTTTCTTTTGAAAATAAATGAATGAACATATATATATAGAAATCAATTGGTTGATTTAAAATTAACGTGCATGAAAAAGAAAAAGAAAGACTACAAAGAAGAAGAAAAAGAAGAGGAAGAAGATTAATGGTGATTGTTGTAATACGTGTATTATGCTATTACATTTATTGAATTACTATTGGGTCAACACAAAAACTTGGTGACAAAAGAGACTATTTTTATATATCAATGTATATGAAAATATATTTTATACAAACAAACAAACACCATTACCGTTATTATAATAATTAATTAATCAACATAAGAAATTTGATTCATCACGAATAAAATTTCTTCTCCCAAAAAAAGAAATAAAATTACTTTTGTACGGAAAAAATTATATTAATTGAGAAAAAGAAAAGGCAAAAGGTTTCGAATTCGTTTCCAGAAGAATAAGAAACAATAATTATAAATAAAGAGTGTGACACTGAAATCTTTGCATGTTTTCCGTTTTTCGTTTTTATTGTTTTTTTTTTTTTAATTCGTAACACTCTTGCTCAAGGGTTTTTTTTAATTAATAATAAGTTGCACATTTTATTTACTTAATAAGATAAAAGTATTTCCTTTTATGTATTGGTTATTCTTATTTTTCCAAAAAACAAAAAAAATTTTTGGGGTTAGATTTTATTTTATTTTATTATTTATTAAACCCTTTTTTTTTTTAAAAAACAATTTCTTTCTTCTTTTTTTTCCCTTCTTTGAAAAAAAAAATTTTAAAATTGAATTAAAAACTAAAGAAAATTTTTATTAATATTAAAACTATAAATAATAGCGATAATAAAATTGACAATAAATATAAATATAAAATATTATAAATATTATTATTGCTTATTATTATTATCACCTTCTACTACGCCAAAATAAAGAATGACATTTTTTTAATTTTAAAAATCTTTATTACTTTATAATAATAATCAACCACTACCACAACAAATCACCCCAAAAACCATCATCGCAACCACATCATTCTCAAACAATACCAAAAACAATATTGTTAAAATCGCGACTTCGAGAAAAAAAAGGGGAGAAAAAGAACAAAAACAAGATAAAAAATATTATTATTCAATTACCACCGAAATTATGAATTTTATAAATAACGATATTTCAAATTTTAAAAACACAAAAAATAAAAAAAAAATAAAAACCAACAACAGTTCAATAACAAAATTTAAAATTAAATATAACAACAGCAGTAATAATCAATCTTCAATAAAGTCATTATCACATTTTTCCTCCCCAACAACAATGTCTTCTCCCACAATACCACAATTTCCTTCAACATCAATATCTTTACCGTCATCGCCTTCATTTAAGAATCATAAATTATTAATTTCCCCACTTGAGATATCATCACTAACACCTTTAAATCTCAAAGAAACTAAAAATGATGATAACAATAACAATAATAATAATAAAAATAACAACAATAATAACAACAACAGAAACAATAACAACAAAAACAACAACAACAGAAACAACAACAACAATAATAATTCAAATCAAAAACAAAAAAATCATGATAATTCACATACGGAACCAAATCCTAATAATAATAATAATAATAATAATAATAATAGCAACAAAAACAATAATAATTATAATAATAATAAACCATCGTCGTTGTCGTCCCCTTCACATTTTAGAAAAAACAAAGGTGAAAGAATAGCAAAAAAACTTAAATTACCAATTTCAGGGCCTGCGACAAGACTTCGGAATAATGTAAATAAAATTGAATTTCAAGAAGAATATGAAAAGTTTGAATTGGCAAATAATAGACCAGTAAAAATTATTAAAGATGAAAGGTATTATTTAAAAAGAGCTGCTCCAATACCTGATTTAATAGCGTCATCGTCGTCATCATCGTCGTCATCATCAACAGGAAAAAATAATTCAAAAAGATTAAAAACTGTAAATGCTTTTTCCTTTTTTTTAACAACGTCATCACCTGTACCACCGACCACATCAACACCAATAACGTCTTTAACAGCATCTTCCACCCTTAACACCTCTTCATCTTCACCACCGTCATCTTTACCATCAGAAGATTCATTTACACCTAGATTAGAAGTTTTATCGAAATGGTCATTAAAGCAACAAAAAATTTTTTTGGCTACATATATGAAAAATGATAAAGATTTTGATTTAATTAAAAAAAATTTAAATGACACGAAAACGTCAAAAGAAATAATTGAATTTTATTATTTAGTAAAACATTTACCAAAATTTAAATCAGCAAAAGAAATAAAACAAGAATTCGACTCTTATAATGAAAAATTAAAGAATATTACTCATTTTAATAAAAATATTATTTCTACTTTGTTTAAAAAAGATGACAAGAATGATAATACTAGTAATATTAATGGTAATATTAATACTAAAAGGAGGAAGAAAAGAAAAGGAAGAACAAAAAGTTTCATCTAATTTAAATATCATTTTATATTATACTATTTATATATGTATATGTGTATAGTAATGACGCGTTTATTATATCTCATGTTTATATTTTATCTATTACTTACTATATAAATAAATACATTATACAAGTATATTTATTATGTGTCATTTCTTTTACACGTAATTTGTTTGCCGCGCATAGTTCGATAAATGAATAAATGATAATTTAAAGTGTTACAAGAGGACTTCGGACAAATTATATTTGAACTGGTATTAACAAAAATAGGCATAGTTGGCATAGTAGAACTAAAAGACCTGGTGTGAAATTTCAGGTTATTTTTTTAACTGGGATGATGAATATATAAATGAGAAAATCATTCTGTTACATTGTTTGTGCTAAACTCAAGAGAAAAAATCTCTTTGCCATTCATTTGTTAGAGAAATTATTGATGAATTTATGTAATATGGTTGAAATTAATGGAGAAATTTTCAAGTTTAGATATTAGAGATGGATAATTTAAATTTGGATCTACAGGAAGTGATTTGAATAGATTATAAATCTACAAATTTAGTTTTTATGACAATTTATATGCTTCACTATACAATCAAGAAGTACCTCATTGGGCTTGTATTTCAAAAAAAAACATCATTTATAGTAGACATTGAAACATCTCAGACTATCACAATTGGTTTTGTTTTATTTAACATCAAAATTGTGTTACCAATATAGTGTGGTCATATTCATTTACATCAGATCTGCAAAATTATAATACCATTAGAAGTATTCTAAAAAAGGAACAAGGTGAAAAAATTGCTCCTTACATTTTCAAATAAATGATACTCAGACATTTGAAGCTTATCTATGGTTGCTTGCCAAACTCTTCTGGAAATCAATCAGCAGAGTTTCGGCAGGTAACACACTAATTGTTTGTTAGAGTTTGGCAGAGTTTTGCATTTAGGGATTTTGACAATTAGCAGGGTTACATGCTAATTGTTTATTAGAATTTTGGCAGAGTTTCAGGAGTCATTAAGAGGTTTTGGCAAGCAACCTTAAGCTTATCTAAGAATGAAATTTACCAGGAAGAAAGAAAAATAATATATGTCAGAAAAAGAAAGCAAGATGAAAGTATGCTATTACCCAACAAAAGATGGAAGCCTCTAGACAATGAAAAATAAAAGGAATGAACTTATTATCTATTTTATCTTTTCCTTTTTGACATCTTCTCAATAGGTAACCAGATTTCTAAAACCAATACTAATGTTCCACTCTGACCATAATTTAAGGGATTCTCTTTCATGATTGAGCACTGACTTTTTTTTTTTGTAAAACATGGTTTAAAATAAAAAATCTTAAGTAAAAAAGAAGGTTTAACTGTTAATTGATGAGATGAAGAAAATAGAGAAATCATTAAATTTTGTTGCTGAGAATGTGCACAAAATCTAGTTCAACAAGAATTAGACAACAATACTGCTGATTGAGAAAGAAAAAAAAAATTCTTTAGAGAAACCTTAAAAAAGGTTAAAAATAAAAAAAATTTTGATTGACCTTTTAGGACAAGAATTCTTAATCAAAAAGGTAGTGGAATATGAGACAGGATTATTATATGGTGCCCTCATGTAAAATCATGCTGATTGAGATGTCATGGATTATGAAGATAGTCAAGGACATAAATGCTCACAATGCTGTAATTGCCAAAAAGAAATTAAAGAGGTAAACAAAACCAACATTTTACTTGAAAAGAAGATAATACCCCAAATTATATTTATCCAAAAAGAGTGAAATCACACATGTGATAATGTGGAAATGCACAAAAAAAGGCATGTATGAGTGTCGACTTACTGATTTTGGGGGTGTTTTTTCTGGTCTAGTGTTAAGAGAACAAACAAAAGATCATTCAGAAATCTGCTCCAAGCATCATGCAAATAATTAACTAAGCAAGAATGATCAAACATTCTGCCAGTGTTGAAAGGCACAATTAACAAAATAAATAGGCATTATAACCAATGAGATATTGGTTTAGTTTTGAAGTAGGAAAATTGGGAGGCCAAAATTCACCTCACTTCTACATGAGAATAATTCCTAAATACAGAGAAAACTATGGAGTTACTGGATCCAAAGGAGCTTATGAAAAGGCCACCCCTGAACAAATAGAACTAACCAAAAAGCCTTGCAGCCCACTGCTGATAATATTATCAACAAAAAGAGTAAAGTGATTGCTAAACTATGTAATGAAGTAAGTTATGGATATACAACTATCTACAAAAAATCATACCTTACTAATGTTAAAGTAACAGTTTTTATCTACACACTTTTGTTATTGTGCATTAATTTCCTTTTTTAATCATCATTCATTTCATTCTACCTTTACCTTTGTGTTTACTGGATGAATGGCTCCCTTGTTTTGATGAGTCATTTGTGGTTATCTTAACATAAATTACAGGATAAATTCATTGTATGTGCATATGCTTCTTTGATGAAATATGCAATTCAGCAGATCTGGTCATGCAGCCAGTAACTTTTGTAAGAGTCCTAATAGTTTTTGAGACTCGCTTCCATTGTCAGGTGCTGGCTGAAGGCATGTCTACAATTTTTGACTCAGCCCAAGAGCAACCAATGGAATTTGTAGGCAACTATGCATTACCCATATCATTGGATCATTCGACTTTCCTTTAGGAGGACTCCCATTGCAAATTCGGTTTTGCACTTGATTCTGTGTTTTAGTGAGAATTTTCATAGGTTCCTGTGTCAATTGCAAACCATTAATTGTTGATCCAAGTTGCATGTACAAAGAAATATATGGGTTTGGTGGTGCGTCATCAATTCTGGCATAGTGAGTGGATAAGCATATTGTTGCTGCTCCTGAAAAGTTGCCTGAAACTTTCCATTCTTCACTTGAACTAGCAAATATGTGATCGGTTAACCTTCAGATGATAAGAGTTGGCACTATCTTTTACTTTTGGTAATAGAATAGGTATAATGAAGTCTAACCTTTTTTGACTTCTTTCACAAATAACTGCAACACCCCCTTGCCAGAAATTCCAGCATATCATTGGAAGTTGGTGTGTATGTAATGGATATGAAAGATGTAAAAAATACTATTTCATGAACAAGCTGTCCAACACATTGAAGCTTGAATTTTTTCATTCTCATCACGATATTTGCTCTTAAACCATTCATTCAGTTTCACACTGAACAAAACTTCAATGAAGTCATTGATAAAGACAGGATGAGAAAATTGATTGGGTTTAGGTCTTTTGCTTTTATCAACTCAGAATTTGGCTAAAATAGGAATTTCTATACTGGAGCAAGTTTTTCCACAATTTTTCATTCATTGGTCATGTCTAATAGTGACAATTGGGAGCTTTTCAATAGAAACGAACTAGCATGATGGAAATTCTATTTATCACATTTATCACATTGTGACGATCTTGAAATTATGTTGTGTGACTATATAATCTTAAATGGATTTGTTATGTGTCAATAATAGTTGCAGGACATTTCTCACAGATCTATACAGTGTTGTCATATGACAAGGTCATATACCCTTAATCCCCTATAAAAAATAACATACGGGAAAACAGTAGATGAACCGTATTGTTTTACAGAATAGGTACGGAAAAATGTACGG